GCCTGGAGCCTTCCAGAGGGTCCCCAGCGTTGAATCCCCAGCTACACCTGCAAGTTGGCAGGCCAACTGTGTGCTAAAGCCTCCTCCTGGTGGGAAGGCAGCCTGGGGCGCTCAGCCCCAAAGTTTATTTAAGTGAAAAAACCCTCCTGGAGACGAGAAGGAGTGTTACACTACTGTCAAGTTTTAGACGTCGCCATCAAGCAAAAAAAATTACATCCCATCCTGACGAGCGACTAATCAAGGCATGGCAAACGGTCCTGCAATAAATTACTCCGGCGCGAAATAAACCACACAAACAGACCGATGATAATAAATGTAAATTATTTCTCTGAAGAAATTTTCTTGGTATATGAGTAATACGAACCATCAGGAAGGCGTCTTCCTTAACATTAATTACAGAAAATGACAAGTGAGCTGATGACTGGGAAGGCTCATTATCTGAGAACATATTCACAACTTTGCAATTTGCGCGAGATGTACTCCGGCTAAATTAATCTCCCTTCTTTGCATGAGCCTCTTCTAATTTTCATGTTATTAACAGGTTTGCAGTATCAGTCAGTGCTTGTCACTCTAATCAGGTTTCAGCATGTTCGCAAAAGCGAAGCGTCATTTATAAGGATAAGCCCTCATAATGGTGCTTGCTTTCATGTGGAGAATTCTACAAGGCTGCTTTTAATAAGGTACTTTAATCATCTCCTTTGCTCAACTTTTGGCCCCACTGTTCCTTTATGAAGAGTCATTAAAAGACTTTGAAGTTCATCAAGGAGGAAAAATTCATGACATTGTTCGTGTGAGGTTGGGGGTGGCTCAGAGGGGAAGCCTGGGAGGAGTCAGAGTGGAGAGGGTCCTGTTGACCTGGAGCCTAGTTGTGGGTGGCTAGGGGCAGCCTGTGCCCATTGTCTCCACCGTTCAACACCCTGTCGGGTTATTGCTTAACCAAGACCCCCCCTGGTCGGGTTCACAGGGCAAATTCAGGGTGCATGTTGAGAGGCTCTGGGGCTTGCCTGGTCAGAGGAGGGAACCAGCCTCTTCAGCACCATGGACAGCTCCCGACAAGCATCTAGAAACAGGCTGGGAGTCTTGGGAGGGTTTTAAGTCTGTTTCTCGATGGTCTGCTCTTGCTTTGGAAATTACTGACTCTTTGGGGACAGACTGGTTTCTATGAATCAGAGATTCATCTTCTCTTTTTCATGGGTTTTTAGTTCATAGAAGAAGCTAGGTTGTCTATCCCAATGGGAATATCTGTAGGGTGCTTTCAACCTTAGTGGGCTTATAGACCAGATTAACTGTGTGTGTGTGTGTGTGTGTGTGTGTACCTCCTTTTGTTGCCTCATGGGGACAGGGCTCATCCTGGAATTAAGGCTCAGGTACATCCCTTTTTCCCTGCTAAATTCCCCCAACACTCCAGAGTTGAAAATTTCCTACACATGTTCCCATCAACAGAGATGCTTGAGCATTAGTTTGCTTCCAGTCATCCTTGGTGGCCTCTGACAAGCCTCAGAAGCGCCTGTTGTCATATAGAACACTTCTTGCGGGGATGGCTCATGTATTAGACCTAGAGGCAAGACAAGAGCTGGTCCTACCATAGCCATTTACTCATTGTGTGACCTTGGACAAGTCACACTTCTCCTCTGGGCACCTTCCATATGAGTCCTTAAGATTTCCTCCTCCACGGACCTCCTTGATGACAATCCTGATGTTACTGACTCTTTGGGGACAGACTGATTTCTACTGATATTTACTGAAGCTCCACCCTCCCACCCCCGACTTCTCCCCAGTGAATGGTAGAGATGGTGGCCCTGTGTTCCAAGTGGGCAACATGCTCAGAGTTCCTGGGAATAGGCTTTCTGTTCCCATCAATGTGCTTCCCTTTCTATTTGTGTGGGATGAACATGGGGTGGTAACAATGTGGCATGGTCTCCATCCTGGCTGTGCTAATAGCTGCAGAATCTGGTGCTCTGAGACCTGCCCACTGAGAGGTATGGGGGTGGGACCCTACCAGCCAGAGTCTTCCCTCTGTGAATCTGGAACTGCACCAGGGAAGTTTGGACAGTGCTGGCGGTTTACTGGATTTACAACGTGGACCCTCAGTAGGGCAACTGTCTTCTCTCCTGTGACCTGGAAAAAGTAGAAAGTCTGGTATTCAGAAGAGGGGAGGGGGCCTCCCCGGTGGTGCAGCGGTTGAGCGCTGGGTTGCGAAGCTGCCCACAGCCTCTGCGGCGCCGGTTCAATCCCCGGCTGCTCCCCAGTCACCGGAGGAGGGTCCCACATGGCGCGCAGACCTCTCCTGCCGCCCGCTGCTCCCCTCAGCAGTGTACTTCGGTCCTTCTGCCTGCTCTGCTCCCCGCTCTGGCTCTGGTGAATTCTCTCACCCTCCCGCGCTTCTGACTGTACCCCGGTGCTTGTATAAATAAATAAATAAATAAATAAATAAATAAATAAATAAATAAATCTTTAAAAAAAAAAAAAAGAAGGGGGAAGGAAGAAGCAGAGACAGGAGGCAGGGAAAGCCCACTTCCTGGTTCTAGTTTCTTCTAGAAACCCTTGGGTTCTATGAGATGTCCCTGAATCCTAAAGCTTTGTTTCCTTTTCCTACCTAAGCTCACCTAGATGTATTTCTGTTACTTTCAATGAAAAACACTCAATCCGCACAACTTCCTTGGGTATGGGAGGAAGTTGCCTGAGCTTAACCCCATAGCCAGCACTAAGCAGGGCGGAGTTGGTGACCTGACCGGGGAGGGCTGATAGCTGTCTGGTCCCTTAAATTGGAATGAGGACAACCCCCCCACCACCTGATTTGAGAGATTGAACCCTCAGTATATAGGGGCTTTCGCTGGAAGAGATGAAGATGGTCTTTAGGGACAGGGAGGAGACAGAGCAGGTCTTTGGGGACAGGGAGAAGCCGGAAGGACCTTTCAGCAATAGATGGGTTTAGTTTAGGGCCAAAAAGTTAATCTGCAGAAACTTGCTTTTCAGGCCCTTTGGTTCCTGCGTTTATTTCTCAGTCATGTTTCCAGTTTTCTTCAGAGATGCCAGCCTGGTTCACTTCTGCTTGGGGACTGGGAAAGAGGGGTGGGACTTCACAGGACCATAATATAAAGAGGGGACATCCCCAGTGATGGTGGTAATGTGCCTAGAGAGGATGCCAAAATATAGGGGCCCTTTGGCTTAGTGCTCCTCCCAACCAGGTGAGTCTTATTGATTCACCCACATCCATGCCCGGGAGGGCTCTGTGCTGTAATGAATCCCCTCCCCCAACTCACCCAGCCGACTTGGGGCCATTAGGGTTCATTCAAACAAGCAGAAGAATGAGGTGTCTGGATTCAACTTAGTAAGTAATGATGGGTCACCTCCAAGGTCAGGCGGCAAAATTACATCTCAGTGTAATAAATCCATTTGCACTTTCTCCAGAGGTGGCAGCTGCGCCTTCAGATGGGTGACCACTGTGGAGAGAGCGAGCCTGGGAGCAGCACGGGCCCGCTGTGCAGCTCGAGTCCCTTGGGCTGGGCTGGGGCAGTGTGAGATCTGCGGGTGGAGGACAGCAGCCTGGGGCCCACGGAGGGGTGAGGTGCCACCCCTTCCAACCCACACCCCAGACCTGATTAGGGCTTACAGGGACTGCGAGCACCAAAAAGGGTGAAGGGGGAGGATACATGTACGATTCAAAACAGAAGCAGTACTCAACTCTAAGACGAGGGTCAGAAGTCTGATTTTTTTCCATGGAAGAAAAGTCGTTAAATTTACTTTTATTAAAAATGATTTCCTTTTGCCTCTTTATTGTAAAGTGAAGTATTCACCTTGAGTGGACTACTGACCTGAACTTACCCTGTCCTTGAAGTGACCCAGTGCTTGTCACCCACCCTGAGACCTGCCTGGCACATGGAGGTGGGTGGGCCGGAATGTGCTGTGCATGTTCCTGTGCAGTGTAGACTGGGAAGCCGCTGGGGTGGCCAGAGCCTGCGGAGCCTGTGGGGGCCTGGTGGGCTCTCCTGCGTGGCTCTCTTTCTCTACTCTCTGGGCACTTGGGAAGGGCTGGCAGGCCTGGAGTTGGAGTGCAGCCAGGCAGCTGCTGCTGGATGATCAAGATTGATACTCAGAAGCATGATCTTGTGCAGTAGATAAGCAGGCAGCAGTCCACGATGTCGAGGCTCTCTCCAGGCCCCCACGATGTGGGGACCCCTGCCCTGTCCAGGCCAGGTTTCAGGGACGCAGATCCTCAGGGGAGGTCTAGGAAAACCTGACAGACAGGGGACTGGCAGGCAAGCAGGGATGACTCACTGCTCTCCTCCCCACCCCGAGGAGCCTTTCACCAGCTCTCTGACCCCTGCTCAGCAGGTCACATGCATGGAATTGCCGTGAAGGCTCCATTCCTGGAGCTCCACAGCCGTGGAGGGCGGCCACCAGGATAGACTGGCAGTGCGGGTTCCTGTGCAGTGGACCCCGTGGGGAGTAGGGGGGTCTTTTCAGAATGACATTTGCCCACACCCAGAGTGCCTTCCAGACCTTGGGAAGCGCCATCCTAGAGCTGAGACTCCTGGACCTCAGCATCTCAGACAGCACGTGGTCACCCCCATTGTCCAGTGGTGCCAGGAGGCCTAGGCGGACAGTGACTTGCCCAAGGCTGTGCATGGAGAGGCAGTCTTGCTTGCTGTACTGGGTTTTGGTCTCTCTGTTCTGAGGGCTTCTCCTCCTTTGGCCTTATTTTCCAAATGGTACAAATGCCTTCCCTTTGAGGTTACATTTATTTAAATCTTATGAATCGTTAGGTGTCACTTGGGTGCAGATACAGGGATCAAGCCAGAGGTGGTAGCCAGCCTCCCAGGAGGGCCCAAGCTCTCTCTCTCTCCTCTCCCCCATCCCCCAGTATTTGCTCCCCATGTTGGACCAGGCTGTCTGACCAATAGGTTATGGTAGAAATGATGGTATGTCACTTCCGAGATTAACTTGTAAGACTGTGGCTTCCATCTTAGTTGATTGCTCTCCTTCATCATCTATCCTAGGAGACATCAGTTGTCACGGAACAGGGACAGAAAAGCCCGCAGCTGAGGAGCTGGGAGCTGCAACCACAGGAGGGAGCCTCAGTAGAGCCTCCAGCTGACAGCTTGATCCTGAGCCACGACCACCCAGCAGAGCCACACCTGGGTTCCTGACCCTCAGCATGGTAAGATGACACACATTTATCGTTCTACGCCATTACAGTTTGGAGTCTTTTGTTACACAGTAGTAGATAACCCATATACCTTTAAAAAATAAATAAAATGAGACAGAAGTGTTGGATCAACCTCAGATTCCCCAGAGTGATAAGACATTGGGGGAGGAAAGGCAAGAACTGAAACGGTTGAGAAGCGTGGTAAGGGAAGTGCAGGTTTACCCAGTTCTGGTCAAGAAGGTCATAGTCAGACCTCGCATCCCATCTGGGTTTGGGTCAGGACACCTAGAAATGATGAGGCCTCACCGCCTATTGGCAAGAGAGATGAGGAAAGGAACATTCTGGTCAGTGTGGAAGAAGTATCCATCTGGGTGGTCAGGGAAGGGGTCCAGAGACTCTCCAGCCGCCTGTGGGGTCTGTGTAACCACCGCCTTGCTGTGTTTCTCCTGGCCTGAGGAGGTGGCTGTCGCTGTCCTCGCTCTAGATGGCACTGAGGCCCGGAAGCTTGAGCGCTCTCTTACAGGCACTGGGGGATCCTAAAGGAGTATGGAGTTGGGTTCGGGAACAATGACTCCGCTCATCGGGTAGAGGATGGACTAGAGGGAAGTGGCAGAGAAGCACGGTGGGGGTTGGGTGGGATGGAGCCCTGCTGATGGACCTGTCCAGCCAGGGGTCACCTGGCAGCCCACTGCAGGACATCAGGTCAGACACAGACCACTGTCCACACATGCTCCCGGCTCCACCTGGAGAGAAATGTCAGGCAAAGTTCTAACAGGCAGAGCTCAGTGGTGGTGCGGGGGCGACCCGAGATGATCCTGAGTGTCCCACTGCTGGGGGCCCCATGGCTGGGGGCCCAATGTGGTAGGTAGGGAATGGACTAGACACCCGATGACCCTTCTGACTCCAGAGCACAAGAGGGAGAAAGACACGAGTCCTTAGCTTCTGAGCGCACGGGACTTGAGGAGCGAAGGAGCAAGGTCATGCCCACCTGTGTGAGATACAAGGCGCCTTTTCAGATCCGCTTCCTTCCACATTCTTCGGGATCCCAGTCCCTGGGCATGTCATGGGAAATGGGGAGTGAGGGAAGGAAGAGCAGATCAGAGATCTGGTCAGTTGTTGCTCATGCAGGAGCGCCGTGCTGCAGTCCACGCCTGGGCACAGGGTGGGCAGGCCCTCGAGGAGACAGTGGGGTTTCTATAGACCCCATGGGGAGAGGTGTCCCCAGAGCTCCCGCTGCTTCTCCCCCTGCCCCTTGGGGCAAGCACCACGTCTCTAAGATGGGCCTGCAGTGGTGGGAGGGCTCCCCTGCGCAAGGGTCCTCTCCCTAGGGGCCCCAGCAGGCCCCCCTGTGTTCCCGGGAGCCGGGGAGATGCTGTCGGCAGGGCAGGGCAGGGCCCCCTTGCTGAGGAAGCCCTGACAGCCGCCATCCTCCTTTTCCACGGCGAAGTTCACCTGCAGCAACGTCAGTGCACTTTTCAGGCTGACAGAAATCCCACCGATAATTGGGAAGAGCGGAAAATGAAAACATTAAAATTTGCCGTGTCATATGTTCACTTCCGCTGATTGCCTGATCCCCTCCGTCCACTGACAGATGCTGTATTATTAACACTTGATTAAAAATCACTTCGGGTTTGAACCAGCCCGTCGAGAAGGGAGCGTCTTGACAAGATGTGTGGTTTCTGATTGACAATTAGTAATATTCGGTGTGTCACAACACAGAGAGTGTGACTTATTGGTGCCCGTGTAATGCAACACATTTCATCTGAGCTCCTCAAATTGGTACATAGGAATAAGAAAGAAAAGCTGGAGTCTCATTCAGCCGACTTTGATTACCAACAAAGGAGAGATTGTACATACCTGTGCCGGCGTGCCCTACCTGGGTTCCTATCAATCAGCCAGACGGCTGAGATCCCCTCGCCTCTTTGCGAACGGGGAGCCTCGACAGAGTTGGATCTCATTATGCAAACCTCAACTTCTCTATCAGCAGCCAAATCCTTTCTGTCTGGAAATATGAAAGCTCTTTGCTCTGACGCTGCCTGCGCGCCTCCAAATTACCAGCCTGCTCCTCTTAAAACAAAAGGCTTCTCATTTTTTAAAAATAAAACGATCTTATCTTGATTGACGTGCTACATCCTTTTCCTTCAGCTATTTTTCTAAGTTGGTGTCAGCGGGAGTTGGATTCAGGGGCCATTTTTTTTTTTTTTTTTTTTGTCTCAGTTCTAATTCAATTCCTTTTAAGTGCTTTTAAAGAACAGTGCAATTCACGTGCTTTCCTTTTTTGGGTCTGACCTGGATATCATTTTTAGTTTCCTTCTCCGCAAAGATTATCCAGGCAAAGAATGGTCGTTTGCATTAGTGAAAGGTGATAAATTTAACGCGATTAATCTCGGCAAACTTTGGGAGACATGGTCTCAGGTGTGAGCTAAATGTTTTGCAAAACCGGGTGCCTTGTAATAGAGAAGCTGGCAGCAGTATGGGGGGCGTGATACCTGCCACCCCAAGGGAGCTGGCTGCCCAGACTAACCACCACCCTCACTCTTCTCTCGTCTTTTGGCTGTCTGCTCCCCCCTGTTGCCCAGACTCCCTCAAACCGATGAGGACAGAGACCATGTCTCTCTTGCTCACAGCAGTGTCCCCAGTGCTGGCACACTACACACTTTCTGGTGTGTAGCAAGCTCTTGATCAATATCTGCAGAATGAAGGAAGGAAAAAGGAATGAATGAATGAATGAGTGAATGAATGCATTGGTGATGGGGGTGGTGGGTTAGTCTGGAGCTCAGACAGGTCTGGCTCCTACCGAAGGAATGTTCTCCGGGGTGGGGGCGGGGAGGAGAGCAGCAGTCAGTTCTTGGGCTGTTGAGAGGCTGCCATTGGTTTCCTTACTCTTGTCCCCCTGACATGAAGGCCTTGGCTCCCCCACTTGTGGTGTCCTATTCCCCTGAGAAAAGCTTCCAAGGGTCTGATTTTCTGAGGGGAAGAAAAGCGGCTTTTCTGCAGGGGTGAGAATGGGGTGAATCTGGCCAGGCCCTGCTGGGAGGGGGGAGCAAAAGAGATGTAGCAACTGACTAACAAGGGGGATGGGCCTCCTTCTGCTCCAGGGACCCTTGGCTGATTCAGCCTTTGCTTGGTCCAGGATGAAATTCTTTGTTCATTCATTTACTCGTTCATTCAGTCAATCAGTAAACGCTTACTGAATCCCTGACAGCTCTGCAAATTGGCTGGTGGGCACTGGGCTCTCCACTGGCCCCTCAGCCCTCAGGCCACAACACAACCATGTGTTTTATGGCTGAGCTTATGGGGCCTACTCTTGAGCCAGCCTTGAAGGACTCATCCTAGTCTGTGTCAGTCACCGAAGTCAGCATACACCAACTAAGCCCTTGGCTGTGCCTCAACCCAATCTTGGCTTGCTGTGGTTCCCCCATCCCCCAAAGAGGAATCAGACTGGGGCACCTGCTGTGGCCTATAAGGACAAAGGATTCCAGTCTTATGTTAGGGTGAAGAAGGATCTGACTTTCCATTGCTCTGGGCTGCTTTGGGGTGCGGGGGTCATGTCAGAGTCATATCTGTGTTCCTGCTCCCAGGACAAGGCTCTGGGAAGCAGGTGGTGCGTGGTTTAGACACTGGCTCCAGGGAATGCCAAGGTCAAATTGATGCTTCAATATTCATTAATGGAGGCCCTTGGACAAGTGCCTGGACCTCCCCAAATGTAGGTTTTCTCCATCTGAAAAATGGAGAGACTGATGGGAACTACAAAAGCAATTCTAAGATGGGGGCCCTTAGCCCTCACATGCTATGTCCCCCTTTGGCAGTCTGGGGAAGCCTGTGGGTCCCTTTAGCACAACAGTTTTAAATGCATAAAATTAAATACACAGGATTGCAAAGAAAAGCAATTTATTAAAACACAAGTATTAAAATATAGAAATTTGTGATACAGCAATACATGTGCTTCTTTCTTAACACATTATGTAGAAAGATCTGGAGGCAGGTCTGATAACAGTGATGGTTTCAAGGTGGTGATAAGTGTAAAGGGTATTCTGAGAAATCTGCAGCAACTGTAATGTGATATGAAAACATATGTGATTTCTACCAGTGACAAAGTCAGGGGTATTGCTAATACTACAGTCAAACTGGGAGGAATACTAACTTTCAGCGAGAGGGGCATCAGTTTCCCTATCCAGATACAAGAAGCCCTGTTTTGAAGGATGAATGGGATGGGGGGAGCAGGAATGGGGATCAGGGAGCAGCAGCAGCAGGAACAGAGGTGAGGAGAGGTGGGAGGGGGAAGCATAGTGAGTGACTTGGGCTGACCTGATCTGAAGTTGAGGGGGGCTTGAGCTCTGGATTCTGAGTGTGAGTTCTTCATCTGGTTGGGGGGAAGCAGTATGCAGAGTGGAAGGAACAAAGGCTGGAGTCCCAGGCTTGTCACTCAATAGCTGTGTGATCTCAGAAAGTCCCTAACCTCTCTGTTCATGATATATACTCTTCAGGGATCTAAAATTTAAGATATTAAATAAAAGCTTTGATCAAGGAGACAGACACATCTGGAGACTTGCTAACTATGGCCTTGTTAATATGGCAGCAGCGTGGTGGGTCCATGGAGAGTCCATCAGGGTTGGGGGAGACCTCAGAGAGTTTCTGGGAGAGCCAGGGAGGGGCTGCTGGACCCAGGGGAAGGATGACGGGAGAGTGTCAGAGCTTGGGGTACAGGCAGGCTGGCCGAGGCCAGGTGAGGCTGCAGTGCAGTGGGCAGCCTGTGACTGGCTCCCCCTGGCCTGTCAGATGCCACTCCTGGCGCCCCCTCTAACGACCACATGACAAATAGCATTCACTGCTCACGTGATTTGGGACCAAAAAGCCAAAGGCCACAACTCAAATGTGTACAAACAAATAATCATTTAGTAAAGTGGCCAGAGACAAGACCTATTTACCCCAATCAATGCTCTCCTGTATTCCGGCCTTAGTCCGCCAGAAACTGTAATGAAAAAAGAGATGCCATTCCCAGAAGCCATGGA